ATTTTGTCGGACGTAAAAGCCGCTTTCCAATGCCCAGAGAAATATTGGCCTCGATATAGTTTTTGCATTTTTACAAACGTATCTATACGTTTTCATCGGTTGTCCGCGGTGGCAATGTTTCAGATGTTTCGTATTTATGATTCGCTTGTCACATTCTAGACTTTTGATATTTGTATCACTTAAAGTTAGCTTCTATATGTTTGTGCTTTTCAGTGTCGGATCGTAGTAATATGTTCTTCTAAAAGGTACACTATCGTGTTTATCTTCCTCTTGCTTTTTCATACGTGCTGCTCCAAACTTTTGTTGTTATTATTCAACTATAATTCTTTTTTTTTCTGAACCGTTTTATGTCTTTGTGAATAACCAAGTTTTAGTTGAGTTTTATCTTTTTTTTTTGTTCGCTAATACCCCTTTTCTGAGTTCACTCCAGTGCGTCCAGTTATTAGCCACAACTCTATTCGTAAATTTTCTCGAGTGTATTTTCGTTTAGTCTAGGGTGTTCATTTATACCGACAATACATATAATTGTGTCGCATGTTCGTTTTTTCTGAGTTTGACGTGGCCAATGAATTTTCTATAAACTCTATTAACTAGGACGTTTTTTCAATTCACACGTTTTTGCCGCTGTCACCAGCCAATATTATTATTATTATTCTTTTAGTAACTTTTAGCGGTATCTGCTATTTTTATTGAAATTATTATAACTGTATCAAACAGATATTAGGTATTATTCTATTTTTTGTTTACACAGTCTACTATACAATTTAAGATTCCAAGTGAAACGACTGATGTATTGGTTTTACTATGGTGTGTGCGTATTTTTAAACACGATTTCAGTCAAAAATATTACTCCGATCATCTTGATTATGGGATGTTATTGACAGAAAATGCGGTCTACTTGTTATTTTGGATTTTTTTTTTGAATTTCATAACAGTTTACAACAGTTTGAGACATAAAAAAAAAACAGCAGTAATTACTGTATACCTATCGGTTTCCAAAAAGAACGATTATTTTTTTCATCATTATTCAAAAAATTGTAGAGACATTTTTCAAAAGATTATCTTTGTGGCCAAGGAATATTTTTATATCGCAAGTCACAAATTTTACTCTATACACATACTAAACATTTACATTAGCATTTTAATGGCATTTGATAATTTTCAAGACGTACATGCTTAAAGGCACTTAAAACTTTCGATTTTTCCAAAATTTCAATCAGTCGTTAACACGAGGACATATGGCAGCGTTTTGATTCCATTTATTTGCTTCACTGAATCATTTTCATTTTTGAAAAGTTAGAACGTTAAAAGTTAATCCACTTCATAAAGATGTTTAGTTCTTCTACTACATCAGCGATTTTCAGGAATGTTGTTTCTCTTTGTGTCAGTCAAGGAAAAGGTGGTTTAATATAAATTGTTATCGTTTTAAAACGAAAAGTATACCGCCCTCCCCCTATTATTACGGCGAGCTCGTCAAGCGCTGATAATCTCTATTGTTGTGAACATGCACACACGTACGGCGTAAAAACCGTTGATCCGCATGAACGTACGTGGATTGCCCGCACGGATCGCCGTGTATTTAAAAACCGTTTGAGTTCCACGACGAAAACCGAACCCCGCAAGTCACCAACAGTGTATTCGAACAGTACGATGTCATTTACTTTGTCGTTACTTGTTGTTAGTCTCTACCATGTCGAGCACAAGGAAGACATTACGGAACGAGACATACGTCAAAACTGCGCGAGAGGCAATGACGTTTGCAGTTTGAACGGGGGTTGTTTTTTTTTAATCCCTAGTGGGGAGGGTTTCAAAGAACTTACTGTCCTTTTCGCACGCCAATCCACCCCTTTTAGATCCACTGTGGCGCGGGCGAGGGACAAGAATTCCGATTCCCGCGACGAAACATTTTTCTGGTCGAACGTTGTGTGTGCAGATCGTCGTGTTTTGCCGGAGAGGACTGGACATTACAAGTGTTGCTCAGACGGAATGTTAAAAACTGTTCATCTTGTTCTACGCACTAAATATGATCAATGCAATAGTATCTAATGCGGTAGTGGAATTAGATTTGATATTCGTTCCGGTTCGACCGGGACAGTCTCCCGGTTAAAACGAGCCGATAGAAAATAACATTTACTATTTTATTATTCAATAACAGAATATAGAATATAATATATTATACTGTACATTATACGTATTATGATTATTTAATCGGTGTGGTTGTGTACAAATAATTAAATCACAAAAGGGTATATCTATTTTTGTTTCAATACGAACGTTACATCGAAAAAATAAAAATGAAAAGGGCCATTCACTATGATGTCCCGGCTTAGGGATTTCAAAATCTGGCAACCCTAAGTAGAGCGTACTACCGCAATACCAGATTAATTAAAATTTTAATTTTCCTTCTTCTATCTGTACGGAGAACGAACGTGTCACAGACAAACTTGAAATACAATTTTATATCGTTTATACAAAACCTGTCTAAAATTCTACGAAAGCTGCTTCTGTTTCTACGCAAATGCGAATTTTCGCATCCTCGAAGACAATGAAAACTTCATAATAGAAAAATTTTTTCCATCATGAATTATCACTTGCATTAATTATGTAAATTGAAGCGATAGGAACCGCAACGATGATGTAGTGACGTCGCAGGTGTGAACATTTTTTAAATTAAGTGTAGGCACTAAATATATGTAAATTACATATTACGATACAATGTTCGAGAAAAAAAATGTTTTTTTTTCATACATTGTATTTTAGATTATAGATACTGAATATATGTAAACCACATACTAGATTAAAATATACAATTTTTTTTCCTCGAACATTGTGTATAGTTTTCTGTAAATGTGTTTGTAGTTTTTTGGTCATAACTCCGTTATTAACGCTCATATATTCATAAAACCTACACCATAGCAACCGTTGATTTATTTCGGATATTTTGGTGTTTAATATATTAATTACTGTTGCAATCGACCATCAGAAACAAATAAGATTTGATTTTTGATCGCTATTCACACAAGTTTTTTGTCCTTATTTTCGTCATTTATGCTCAGATTATTTTTCATTCACATCATTCCTAACTGAAGTGACCCATGGACACACTCTGAAGTGTCCCATAGATACCCTTTGGTGAGTTTTGGTTAGACACACAAAGATTATTAATTAGATTCACAAAGGAATATGTACAGTTCTTGCGAACCCGTGGCCCTACGCGTGGAAAGTTGACGCATGGTTGGCTTATCGTTTTGGACAGGACAACGGATTACGTCAACAAGCACATTGATATTAGGTTGTTGAGTTTAACGTAGCCAAAGCCCATAGGTCAGGTGTGGTTAATATGCGAAGTTCGTTTTTATAACACTGTACATGAATACTGTGCAATATATATGTATAGATATAATGTATAGACATAATTATAATGAAATAATGGTAGAAAAAAAAAATGTAGAGGAAAAATAATAATTCTATGATCTCGTTGTCATTTTCTGTACGATGTATGTACATTTCTCAGAAATGGAATGTTAATGCAGGAGTAGGATCTGTGAAAAATAATTTTTAATAATAAAAAACAACATGTTTTACTAAATAGTATTTATATGCAGTATAAATGATAATAATAATAATAATAATAATAATAATAATAATGACAATTTATTTATACAAAATTAATAATAATAATTTTAAAGTAGTAGACACGTGTTTGGGGCCGAATGCACGGGGAGTGTATATTAGATAATATAATAATCTCTCGAATATTCATTTTCAATAGGTACCGGCTAATTTTTAAACATTTTTCACACAAGTCGATAAAAATATATTTTTATATTATATTAGTTATAGACACTATATATATATATATAAACTTTTTACACTAATAATATAAAGGACAAGGGAGAAGAGGAGGGGCGAGGGTTTAGCAATAATAATTTTGATTGATTACGTTAATAATAATTGTAACACGAGTTTTGGAAGACAAACCAAAACCGTCGGAAAAATAGAAAAATAATAATAATAACTGAAATCTGGCAAAGTTATATTATATTATAACAACACATACGGACGGAATATAGTAAAACTGTGACTACATAAATTGCTTATCACCTATCATTGTAGTTGACGGATGGAGATTATTAAATGGCTTTGTAATAATATATTATAATAATTGTGCTAGTAACTCGAAGTTTAGTTAAAATTAGAAAATATTCTTTTTGAACGATAGTGATGTTGTGGATATAATCAGCTGAGGTAGTATTTTAGAATCGATAAAATATAGTAATTACTTCTGTATGAATTATATACATGCATGTTATCATTGAGTATAGTATGCCAGCTTCAAATGGAAAATAAAATTAAACTCAAAGGCAGTGATTACGTAATAATAGAATAAATTAAAATAATAATATTTTAGTCGACAATTGTAAGGGAGTTTAAAATACATTGCTAATAAGTAAAATCTATACATTTTTTTTTATAGACTCAATTTTTTGGAGTCAAAAATAGGTAAAATTACCAATTTTTTTTTTTTTTTTTTTTATCACAGTTAATTTTAGGCGCCAGCGCCATCAAAAGTATTCATACAATAATATTTAAAAAATAAAAAAATTGATATAGATAAATAATCTTATTGCAATTTTTAACATCCTTTGCTAAACAAATTTTGTATTACGTTTTCATAATTATATAATTTTACTCGTAACGTGAGTATCTATTAATCTATTTACAATTTTACAAGTATAATAATATGCGATGACTGTAAAAATACAATAATTTATAAAAACTAAAAAAACAGTCTGGTTGTACAGGAGACAACAATATTATATACATAATAACTTCAATTTTTTTTTAACATAAATGTACATGAATATTAAACAAAATGTACGAAACTAGATTGGTTAAAAAAAAAAATATATATATATATATATAAATAATTATATCCTTTAACTTAAATTTAACTCGATAAAAGTTGGACTTGGAAAAAAGAAAACTATAAACATATGTAGGTATGTTATATTATATACTACATTGGTACTGAATTTATTTAAATAACTTTATAATAGTCTACACACATACATTGTTCTTGTTGTATTATATTTTGTTCAATATAGCAGAAATTGTAGAAAAACGATAAGAGAAATGTGAGGAGGTCGGTGTTGGTGATGGTGGTGATGTGAATGGGTCGACAACGTTTAAAATCATACTTAAACGTCATCGCAAAATAAAAAATAGTTATAGAACATATACATACAATACATTAAAGCGAGTCACTGGGGAAAACAAAAAAAAAATTAAAATCTCGAAAAAAAAATCTTGGATTATGTGCTTCAGAAATAACACGATATAGTAGTAATATAATAATAATAATATTGTACAGGTACAGTCTAAATCATTGAACGAAAAAAAAAAAAATGATATAAGTCCCGATGCCATTCTCATCATTTTGTTTATCGTTTACTGGATATTACTATATTATAATATATATCATATATTATATAGGAACCAAAGGTCGCAAAAAACAGTATTCTCATGTTGTGCCTAGGCGTTTCGGCTAGACGAGAAAGCCCTCGGACAGGTTAGCCGATAACTGCGCTCGCATGGCCTGTATACTGTTCATGATCTTCTTCTGGTGTCCGACCAGCGTGATACCCAGCGCTGTGAGGTCGGCCACGGTGAGTCGGGCCACGGCCTTCGGGCTAACAATGCCGGCCTGTTCGAAGTTGTCCAAGTACCTGGCCATTTTGATCGAGCACAGCCACTCGTTGACCGACCCGAACTGGGTCATGTCCGGGGCGTCCGAGCTCAACGGGTTTACGGACCTGGCGGGGGAAAAATAGAAACAAAACAATTAGTTTTTAACGAATTAATAAAAAAAATGAGATGTCGGTATGGATGTTAATCATATACGATCGATTTACAACCACATTTTGTGTGTTGAAAAACCGTGACGAGGTGAACTATATATATATATATATATACACGTACATATAAATGTAACTATGTAAATGGATGAAAAAAAAGTATTAAAAAGCGTGTAAGCGACTCTTGCGGAGAGATAGGAGAGAGGAAAATAGAGCGAGATGTACAGAGAAATAGGATATTATTCTAAATGTTCAGTAGTCACACGGGCGCCGCGATTATTATATATGTTAAATCGTATGATAATATAATTAGCGTACAAAGCAACGTGTGAATGACCGCAGACGGTGTGATACGCACTAATAACCGACGATAGCACGATGCGCTAGTATTAGTGTATACCTATAACAACGACGGGTGGTTAAGTCGGACAGAAAAGGCGAAGGAACATACAGGGAAGGGGATCGTATACACGTTTGTCGTGTACACATACTTATAATAAGTACAAAAAAAACGTACACCGACTGCGTACGAATATGTCTATGTATACGCGGAGAGAAAAAAAGAACTATAGTTGCGGTGTAGAGGTGGTCTATGCATACATATATAACGGGTATTACCTTTTCGCGGATAGCCAAACAAACGGTATCTCATTCGTGATGAAACGACACCCAATCCGAGCCACACTTAAATACGACTGGCACATAATACGGGTTAACAGGAGGTGGACGGCTGTGTCCAAACATGCAAAAACCCAATGCGTTTGTTAAAGATAAAATAATAAATAAAAAAATGTACGTTAAAAAAAAATAGCGGCAACATAATACACACATTTTTACATGTTAAACGATAAAAAAAAAATTAACAAAAAAAAAAAAAAAATTAAAATTTATACATCAATACCAGACACCAAAGCTGAAATGGGTGTGTTGGGTGCATTAAAAGAGAAGAAGACTGTATAGAGGGGTACAGAGAGTGCGAGGGAGAGAGAGAAAAGACGAGAGATATAGTAAGTGATATAATATACAATGCAATTATTTTTGGCGTAGACATAATACACTAACCGAAAACAATAACACGATGTGAGTGAAGCGAGATGACGAGTCGAGTTATATGGAGAGACCCGATGAAATACGAGACACAGATGCATGCAAAGTTTTTCTCGGATTAATATTGTAATAACGTCGCGGAAGAGTATTACATTTAAGTCATTACGTGTTGTTGCCCACAGACGTGTATATAATAATACGTGGCTTTTCACTACAATCGAGGGTTTATGTTTTTTAAACTGTTTTACAAATGTAAAATGAAATATTATTACTTCGGTGGTACGAAAACCTTAAACTTTTGATTCTCGAAAAGTTTACCACTTAGCGCACAAGAAGAGTTCAGTTCGTATTTGAAGACATGCGGTGAAAACTTTTAAAATACACCTGGGAGCTCTTATTTATGATTGTAAATTTTGATTAAAATTTATACAGACGTCTCTTTGCAAGATTTAGACTGTTCAGATAATAATGACCATCACTCTTACTCAGCCCAGATCTAAATCAGCATTTTTTTGTATATTTTATATACAGAGCTTGATTCATGATAACATTTAAAAGTACCAACTTCGCTTTTTGTTAATACGTTATTATATTTAGTAAAATATAAAGGCATTTTTTTGAATCCCAACACAGTTAATTTTAATATAAACTTTTTAATCCAACAATACTTTAACATAATATTCTCAAAATTGGCACATTTAAAGAATTTTAGAATTAATGAATAAACAATGGAAAACATGGACTACAAATTATATTTTTATAGAATATTGTAATACATTTTTTTGTAATTAAAAAAATAGCAAAAACAATAAAGTAACTAATTCAAATAAGTTAAAGCTAAAACAAATGTAAAAAATAAGACAAAACATATTCTAAATATTGTTTCAGAACTTGATATTTATAAATATTATTTTCATGTAGTTATGTATAGATCAAACGAAATAGAGATTAAATAATGTTTCAAAAACTATTAAATTCAAATCTATAGTAAATTTATGGTAAGAAATAAATGTCAACATTTTATATTATATCATATATTATACTTGGTATATTTTCGAAAGGAAATTATCTCTACAGATGAATTAATAAAATAAAACTTTAAAACAATTCATAATATTTGAAAATGTAATTGTTTTTATCATTGTGGAGTATTATAGATACTATTTTCATAAAATAATTATTCTTATATTTAGTGTGACACCAATGGCGATGTAATTTTACAAGGAATATACATAATACATGCTCGTTATATATATATTATTTAATTTTATTAATTGATGTATAAATACAAATCTTTTCGGGCGATAAAATATAGTTAGTAAATTTCTTAACTCATAAATGTTCTAAACTAATGATGAAATAATTTGCCATGTAAAACTCCAATAAAATAATAATGAATGAAGCAATTACTAATCAAAAAAAAAATAATAATAATAATAATAAAGCTCCAATCAGCAGTGGCATCGAGTATAAAAAAAAGTATACAAAAAATTTACTCAAAATATGAATAAATATGCAAAAAAAGCCCAAGAGAAATTATGAAAAAAAAAAAAAAAAAATGTATTATGAAACCAAAAGGAAGATCGTAATAAATAACGATTCTCGAGAACGATTCTAAGTACAAGTTACACATAGGAAATATGAATAACAAACCGCGAGAATCAATATTTATAAATTTGGATCAACCATGTAATTAGTGAAAAATAGTATAAGATTATTTTTTACCTATTTTGAGCGATCCGCCTAAGCGTTTCCGGACACCTTATGAGTTTGTCGAGAGTTTTTACAATGGACAGGAACACTGGTCTGTGCGTCCTCTCTTTTTGCCAACAGTCCAACATTAATTGGTATATGGTTTCTGGACAGTCCATGGGTGCCGGTAGCCGGTAACCTTTTTCGATCGACTTTATAACGTCTTGGTTACTCCAGTTCCAGTACGGACGTTCGCCGTAAGACATAACCTCCCACACGACGATTCCGAACGACCATACATCGGACGCGGAGGTGAATTTTCGGAACGCAATGGCTTCGGGTGCGGTCCACCGGACTGGGATTTTACCGCCCTGGAAATTCGAAAACTGTCAATAAACACAATAATTCGGTTAATCGTCATAGAAGCAACAAGCAATTACACAACACAACACAACAAAACATAAATAATCAATGTCGCTTACCCTCGTGGTATATGCCCCTTCGGTAGTGCTTTCGATTTCTCGACTCAAACCGAAATCGGCTATTTTGCAAACGAGTTGAGCGTTGACTAGTACATTTCGGGCGGCCAAGTCTCTGTGCACGTAGTTCATTTCGCTGAGGTACTGCATGCCGGACGCAATGCCCCGCAACATGCCAACTAACTGAAGGACTTGGAACTTTCCGTCGTTAGCCTAGATTTGGCATTACAGTTTATATAAATTAGAATGTTTGACAGAACACATAAGCTGCAATAGCCTAGCATTAAACCACCAAAATCATAATCAAAATAATAATACACTCACTCTCAAGAACGTGTCCAGCGAACCGTTTTCCATGTACTCGGTAATTATCATCACTGGATTAGATCTGGTGACGACGCCTTGTAAGAATATCACGTTCGGATGTTCAAATTGTCCCATGATCGATGCCTCAGTCAAAAAATCGTTGCGAGCTTTGTCTGAACTTCCCGGTTTCAGTGTCTTGATAGCTACGTCGACTTCCACCGAAGGCGATCCGAGAACTTTTAATTTGCCTCTGCACACGTCACCAAATTCTCCGCCACCTGCAGAGGAAACAACACGCGGTTTACATGCGAATTCGATTGATCTCGGACGCGATCACGGCTTGGAAGATATTTATATATATTAATAACACAATGGTTTCACTCACCAATAATCGCTTCGATAGTGATATACGAAGCGTCGATCTCTCTGGCAAATTCTTTGACCGCTTGATTTGGATCTTCGTAAGTATGCGGATCAATATATGATCTGGACGTGGTTGAACCGACTTGTGTGAACAAAGGAGTGGTCACTGTAAAATGCACACGTACAGTTTTAAACATTTGACAAGGCTCGATAAAATTCGTTGTTAATAAAAAAAAATAAAAAAAATAATGTAGGCGCAAAAGTGGAAAACTATTAGTCATGGACTTACTGCTGCTAGTGTGAGTGGCAACTATGGGAGGATTGTCCAAATTGCAATGCACTGGAAAACAAAAACAAAACACAAGTGTTCACACCAAAAGCACAAAGCAGAATGCAGGCGAACAAAAATAAACAAAAATGTTAGCATCCGTCAATCAGCAGTTTGCGCCCCGGGGTTATTAGGACAAAATATATTATCAATGTATACTACGAGCAAAATACGCAGAATGAGAGAGAAACAAAACGTTTAAAAACAAAAAGTAAAATAAACAAACGTATAACCATCACAGGGATATAATTTAATATAATTAAATGGAAACACTAAAACGAAATAAAGAAAATACTGGTTAGGAAACGTATATACGAATGAAAAATAATCTATTTTCTAGGGGAAACTATGTAATACACTTACTGTAGGTAACAACAAGTCCTTTGGATGCATGTAAATACACAAAAACATGAAAACTAGGTAGTGTACGTTAATTTATAGGAATACGAAGGTAAGTTATTGTGTGAGTATTTACTTTGAACTAAAAAGGAGCGAGGATTATTAAACGACGAGTTACCTTCGTCGAATGGTTATTTCTTTTACATGTAAATTTAACTAAGGCGGGTCCTAAATGTTTATTTTTTTAAAACTAATTTTGGAAAACATAGTCCTCCTTACCTTCTCCGTTCCTGTATTCTAACGTGTCGCAATCACTCGGTTGTTTTTTATTGCATTCGTCATTGCTTCGACTGGAACCGAAAAAATAAAACACAAAAATGTTAAGTCATAATAGTGATTACAGTGTCGAAAATTGTTCATCAAGAGTGTGCAACAATAAAAACAACGTACCTCCTCAAGAACAATACCGTCATAATGATGACAACTACTAAGACGACCACGACTGCTACCGTAGCACCAGCGATGATTCGGACTTCCATGTTATCCTCGTCACCAATGTAGGCTATGGAATTGTAAGAAACAGAAATATAATAAAAAAACAACCATTAGTAATCGGGCGTGATTTAAGCTTGGCATAAAAAAGGGACAACGGCCTGTCATTCTCAACAAATTAATTTGTTTTACCCGTGTCATCTTTCATCCCGGATTTTCTTTGGACTTGTTGTTGTGTGTTCTTACCGCTTCCGAGTAATTGCCCCGTTGTTTTGTATATGGTCGGGCTGTACTCGCCCCAACCGTGAGAAGACTTTGCTCGCACTTGAAAACCATACTCCGTTTTGGGCTTGAGTGCCGTGAACACCACGTGCCGGTCAGTAGTGAGTTTGTTGCTGGTGTTCGACTCGTCACCCTTGGAGTAGAATTTCACCTGTGAAAGGAAAACGAAAATATTTAGCGTTAGTGCACCGTATCGTCTACACAACGCGGATTGCAAAACGTCCATAAGATAGACACGTCCAATCACCTCGTAAACTTCTACGGCATCGTCGTCACCGGAATCCAGAAATCCGGTCATGGGCGGGTCCCACGACAGCGCGATTTCGGACGCTTTGACCAGCATGACGCGGACGTTGTTGACGGATGCGGATTTCATTGACGCTTCGGTAGTGGTCACGGCTATGTCGACAAATTGTCGGTTCTCAGGCGACGTCAGGTTACTAACACCGTTTTCGGCCCATACGTGAAATTTGTACGTGGTCACCGGACTCAGGCCACTTATCGTTATCTTGGTGTCGTTGAATACCTCCTGGACGTTAGAATAACAACGGGCAATCATTCGAGTGGTCAACGTATACATATAGAGAGAGTATACACGTGTAGAAATAGTTAGACGTTTGTACGCGCAATGGTGATATGAAAAGAGAACGAGTGGGACTTATAGTGACTTATAGTGTATAATGCGCTGCGTGTACGTAAGCGTATACTCACGATGTTGGGCATGAACATAACGGATGGACCGCACATGTCGCACGTCACCCTGTACACGATATCGGCTCTGCCGCCGACGAAGTTCGGCGGGTTCCACGATAGGGTCACAGTCGACTGGTCCACAAAGTTGACAGTCAAGTTCTGCGGCGCTGATGGCGGTTCTGCAAAATAAAAAAAACAATACCGTTGTGTATACGTTATATTATTGTTGTACGCGCACAAACGGTGGCGGATATTATTATTATTTATGGCCATAAGGTGAACAGGCGAGTTTTAAACTGACCGAGAATATTATATGCTCGGAAACTTAGCTGTGTCGTGATGAAACAGGCAAAAGAGAAAGAAAGAGGCCGAGATGATAGAGAAACACTGATGGACTGACAGACTGGAAGCTCTCGTATGTAGTATTAAATATCTTCCGATATGAATGTATAAATAACTAACCGGCATCAAATATACGTGTATATATATAAACCTTGGATAACAAGAGCGGGTCGACGTGGAAATTACTCTCCACCGTGTTTATCATTTTTTATATATATTTACCATTTATATATCAGGTATACATTATGCGTTGCCATCACCATCGCTGCGGTAATAATAATTATAAACTTATACAACAATGACCGCAGGGTATATAGGCGGCCTCCATGTACACACAATAAACTGTGCCTTAAAATTTGAATTTCGGACGTATACAAAAACAATATAAAATATTATATTTTGTTAGGATTTCAATTGCAAGAACAAGTTTATGCAGATGACACGCATGGGTTGTGTTCTGAGTTTATATTATTGCCGTAACAAGGATAACGCACACGTACAACACATAATTGTCATCAGTTTAGTATATCAGTGGAATTTACTTTCGAAGCACAGAACGCAAACATTTACCGCTGCCTTGATGACGCGTTCACTGTAGTAGTTTGAATACAAATAAAACAACGTTACGAGGCAAGTAAGTTCACGGTCTACGTTCATTCTTGTCGAAATCGACTTCGCTAGGTAAACACGTCGCCTGTTTAAATCCGTCGTAAATTATAATACTATGTCGTTCAATTTCCAACGTTTTCAAGTCTTTTATTTCTTTCGTCTGACACCCGGATCCCCTAACCCTAGCCAGTAACTTTTATTTTTGTCATTCTCCGTCTGTAATTTTTAAATAATAAGATAACGTCTGGACACGGAAACTTTTTTTTTTTTGTTCTAATGTTGAAGAATGTATTTTATTTTTTGTCGCCGCGGTTCGATAATAGTGTATAAGGTGCTCGGGCAATAATAAAGTAGCCATAACTGACGCGAAAACGGATCTTTTCGTTTACGTTATCGAACTAGTTGTACTAGTGGCAATTAAGTACATCCGAAAAGAAAAGAAATTATAATAAAAATAAGTAATTTATTGCTTCTCGTTTTGAATGAAATTTTTTAATTGCATTGAAAAAAAAGAAGAAAAACGAAATCCGTAAAATTTAACGGGCACCTTCAACTCCGCAGTGAACACGCAAAATGTTGGCGGCCAAGTTGCTTATATTTTCATTAAAAAATAAAAAAAAATTAAAAAAATACTTACAGAAAACTCTGCGGAAAGAGCGCAACGGTGTTTGTGGTAAATGCGCGTGGTTGGTAGTTTTAATTATTAAAAACCAAAAAGATTTTAATGAAAATAATTCTTTATAAATAACCGACTGTGACGGTGGCGGATGTACTTTTTTTGCCCCCCTTTGCTGAGTAAGCAATTTCCGGAAAATTTATTATAGCTTAACCTCTCAGGATAAAAACCGAGAAACGAAAAAAAGAAATTTCGCTTAAAGTAATCTTGTGCGAACCAACTCTGTCCATTTCCCGAGCGCTGCCGCCGTTGTCGGGCGACCGTATGAAAAGCGATCGGGATTTATTCGTCAATTCAAATCGGATATAAATAATAATGCAACGACGGATAATAGCTTTTACCGGCTATAATATATATATAAAACCTATTACGAATGCAAAAAAAAAAAAAAAACTATTATAGAAAGAGCCAAAAGAAATATACCGCCGCCTCCGCCTCTCTTTGACAGATTTAAAAGGTTTTAGTGTCCCGCGCCGAAATGAATTCTACAGATAGGGTTTTCGAGTATATATGTATATATACACGAGTAATAACGCTTTGTGCCACAAGTTTTTTTCTGCTTTCGACTGTCTAACGTAATCAAGTACTTGTCGCACTAAAAATGTAAGAGTCCCAAAAGAATAGCGAAATCCAATGACTCCTTATTGTATCGCAGTACCACGAGGAGATCTTTTCGGAATATCGACGAAACCAAACTCAAGCAAATCGGCCTAATTACCATCAACAAGTACTTGTGAAAAGTCAAACATCACATGTCTTACACGTGATACGACAACTACTCGATGTCGGTATTCGTCAAGTGTTTAACATACTTCAATCGCGCTGGAAAAAAAGCTTGCTTTGTCGAACTCGAGATCCGAAAATAATTAGCCGGTAAATCATAATTTTCCAACCACTGGTTTTTTGCGGTACCGGAGTTGAGTATACGTATATATTATAGTATGCGCGAAGTGCAGACTTCCTTATGTGAAGAAAAAAGCGTTCTCTTCACCGTCAGACGTGCTCTCTGCACGACAAGAATATTCACGTAAACACATATAATAATAATAATAATAATAATAATAATAATAATAATAAAGTGGTGTATACAAAAAGACAAAAAAAAAAGAGGTGGGTTGCTGCTTTATATATTGCGGCAACAGCATTTTTGAAGAGTTTCGTCTGGATAGGTTATATCGAGGCGACTTTTCTCATTATATTATACAGAACATAAAGGATGTACATCGCTAGGTTCATAACCTCTGTACAATATATATATATATATTTTACACTCACACACATACACACAAACACACATATACATATATATGTATATAACATTTATACACACGTACGTATATATAGAAAGCGTTAAAGTTGTATACTATTATGTCTAAACATATATTTTTATTCAGATAATATAAAGGATATACACTGCATATGAGTGTTCTCCAAGTTTTAGGCAGAGAAAAAAATATAATCGGATATCACGAAATATTATTTTATACATACATACATTAATATGTACATAAAATTATTATAGTTTTGAAGATTTTTTTGTGAACAATTTTTGATTTAACATTTTCTAATATAACCTAACTAAACGTAACTAATGATTTGTTTATTTAATTAAGTGTGAAGAGGATCTGTCATATTCCCAACGGGGATCGCGACTGAGAATTCAGCTAGGAATTCTATAAATAAAAAAATATTTATACTATTAAATATGTATAAAAAAAAAAAAAAAAAAAAACAAGTCAGGTTAAACTATGCGAGTTTTTCTTTTAGATTTTTAATTCCTAAGGGTTCAACAAAATGTACACATGGAAATATTTATACAAGGGAAAAAATAAAAAAATAAATACTAGTATCGATCATTGTGACTCTCCGTGTACACGAAGTCAACGTTTTCCTTGGTCGGGTGCAACCACACACGGGCCCGTTTTTTCAACTCCAAACGACAGAAATGCAGTTGTGCGTACCATAACCCGCCGCGTTGTCGGCACGATAAACATCTGCTGATAAGTTAAGTTTTCTATGTCAATCCGCGCAGGGCCGTGTTTACTGTCTTTAGAGATTTATCGTCGGCACTGTATTACGGTTTCTTTTTACCTCTCCCCATTCCACCTCACCACCTCATTTGCTCGAACTCTCAGTCGACCCCATCGTTGTTGTTGTCATCGTCATCGGTTGTAGTCAGTTCTTCACTCAAATGTTGTCCTCGAAGATGAGATAAACATCTTGAGAGAAGTGTAACCGTGAGATTAAAAGGGGGAGGGGCGAGGGGACGGAATAATAGAAATTCAAAAACTGGGAAATCTGCCGTTTACGTTTTTTTTTTTTAACGGACCAGACTAGTTTTTTTTTTTTGTCATTCTTATACTTCTCTAATCCTTGGCCCTAAGAGAAACAGACCTGTTATTGTGAAGCCATCGCCACTGTCAATGAACCTTCAAGTTTTTCCAGTAGATAAACATCAATGATCGAATGACATTTTTTTGTCCCAACCAAACAACGGTTTAACAATAGGTTTGGATTTCGCACCAAATTCTTTACCCAAAATGATGTCATGTTATGCATACGAGTGGTTGCTGAATTATTAGTTTTCGATGTGGTTGTTTGACAACAATAACGAAGACGACGGCGACGACGTATCTCTTATGTACACAATCTTACCTAAATTGTTCTACACGTATCGATTTTATGTTTATACATATAAACGTTACATAATATAACATAAATATTATTATTAAGGGGAGATGCAGCCTGCAACTCTGTTCAAATTTCATTCGATAAGATCTCTATATGATTTTTGAAATGATGGACATTTCAAATAGTTGTTTTTTTGTTGTTGTTAAGTGTCAAGTATACGAAATTCAAATACTGATTTTGCAATAAAAACGTTATCAGTTATCTATATTGTTCAAAATCAAGGTTAAAAATAATAATTTTATGAATAAAAAAAATCTTTATCATGCGTATCAGCATTGAGGTTCTTAGCATATTATAAATATAGTATTTTAGCAGTACATCTTTATATTCATAAATTATCGTAAATAAATAATCATGAAAATTAATCAAACATAATTTCCAGTCCAGTTTAATTTAACCAGTTTACTAAAAAGTTTTTAATCAGTTGGATTTAAATAAAAAAGGAATCAATCACTTAATATCGTTATATAACTAAATCGTTAAACGAATTAAATATAATTAAATATTTATAATTAAGTAAAATTTCAAAATTAATCAATTAAAACAAATTCTAAGGTAAATTGTATTATTTAGTTCAAAAACTTTTTTTTGGTGTTTAATGATTGTTGTTATTACATACTATATAATTCTAGTCAGTAATTCGGCAATATTTGAATAACAAATACCATTTAGTTGTAAGGTGAAATTATAATTTATTTTTTTTCATATACTAATTATTACAACAATAAAGTGTAATTGATGAGTATACGACGTTTCACGAAATGTATTTCAGTAGTACACTTTCATATTTAATAGATATTCAGTCAATCATAATTGAAATTTAAAGACCTATAAAGGGGATTTTTTCATTTAGCATTATTGGCATCAAATAAAATTCTCGAGGTTTGGTAGAAAACAAGGATTTTGTCCAAAAGCCCATATTTTTTCAATATCTTTAAAATATTACGACAAAGAATAAGAATACTGGGTACAAAATCTAATCTGTTAAAAATATAATAATAGTAATAATAGCATAAAAATATGTACGTATAAAAAAAACAAATCCCTGCGGAACAAATGCAAATAGAATAAACTTTCGGTTGGCAAGTCGTTTGCTTTGATGCGGTTCTGTGGGTTTATATCACCTCCAGGGGTAAAACGGAAAGATAGAGAGTGGATAGGGATATGGGCACGATGGCGAACAGTTATTATTAATATTACCGAGTTTCTAAATGACAGAGATTTAACGAAATCCGCCATGCCTTTGATATAACTACCGAAATAATAACTGCTGGTGCTGTGACCGCGAGAGATCTTTTGCGACCACGACTTCAAAGTCGTTTAAAACTCCAACGGTTTAATGGAACGTCCTTTTTCAATTCCATTCGAGAACAAATGACTGAACAAATTTAATTACACATTAAGCTCTCCGCTACTATGCGTGCAATTACCAGACGGAAAAAATAAAGAAAAAACATGCCACCGTAAGATCGTTAAGACGGGTTGTTGTTGTTGCCGTCGACTGCTGTTAATAATACACGAGCATGTATATGTTCATTCATATATCATACATGACGCGCGAATAACGTGAATCACATATAAAAGTTTTCAACATGATTTTCGAGCCGTTCTTACCGGAAACATTAATCGTCGAAAGCGCTTTTTTGTTTTACTATCATGAATATCATACGGTAATATAGTATAAACATTCGGGTGAGATATACAATATGATATATTCTACTTACGCGTGCATGGCACCGATTTTGGATCTTTGGGCGACCTGAAATATCCGGTGTTGCACCTGCACTCGGACATTCCTTGATCGGGCGCTTTGCTGTGGGCCGGGCACGGTTGACACTTGTCATCCCCGACGCCGAACTTGTACTTGCCCGGAGGACAGACTAAGGGGAAAAAACGAATAAAAACACATTAGCCATGAATTGCATACGTAAATTTATAGCATATCACTGGAAAAATTGATATTATCGTGTACAACAATGGGCGAAAGGACGACGGTCATCCCGTATACCACGCAATGTGTTTAATTAAATCCTCGTGTGCGCCACGCGCGTTAATTGAACACTACGTTTAGCCCCTGCAGCAGCGGTTGCGGTTGTATAACTTCCCCGCGCACGGGAAGAGAGCAGGACGATGATAGATGGAGTAAATCGTCGTCGGCGTATATTGGCGTTATATTAATAGAGACAAATTGTTTGTGGAAGCGTTACACGCACACATAATCGCCGACCCCTTTACGATTAAGATTGATACCCCCGAGGACTGCCATTATAAATATAGCTAAACGCATAAATACCGACCGGTGTGTATACAGTGTGTAGACGTCGACTACTACTACTGCTACTGCTGCTGATGAACGACTACTGTTGTTGGCAGCTGGTAGCAATACAGTTATCACCCTGTGTACATACAAAGTGTATGCACGTAATATATTATGCACGTAAATACAGAAGATGGCGTGGCGGAATACCTCTGTTATATTATACAGTGCGCGTATATTGTCCACGAGTGGTTCAGAATATTCAAACACCCGGGAATACCATCGACGACCGTTTAGTTTTCAACGAATCTGGTTTGAATTCATACCTCGTCGGCGGTGAAAAAGACTGTCGGAGACCTGAGCACTGTTTTCAGACGAAAATACAAACACAGATCAGAAAGAAAGACTGAGAGATGGATGTTACCGTATTTCTCTCTCTCTCTCTTTCGTTTTTTGCTTTGTACTTTTCATCGTGTACATAAGCCCCCACATCATCACTACGCAGCCTGTCCATCAATCGTCGTATTATATATATATATATATATATATATATGTATAATACGCGTGTGTGCAAAAAAGAGAATATTTGTAAAAAAAAAATCAAAAAATACTATTTTGTCTTTTATGACAAGCGTGCGTTTTCAACAAATATTTTCACATATCAAGTATATTATGTGCTCGCATTGCTTCGTAGGCGCGTTCTACTTTACGCGAAATACCACTCAGGGTTGTAGAGTGTTTTCAGTGGTATATAGTGTGTATATATTTATATACGTACAGCTTTCCGTTTTAATTAATTTAACCGAAATTCCCGAAACCTGTACATTTTGAACTAGGTAAAAACTTTCACATTATCACTTATTTTTGACGAATAATTAACTTAATTTTACACGGTACCCGGAAAAAAAATATGCCAGCATGTTAAAGGTATTTTGAAAGACGCACACGCGATATTACAATCATAACCCGAAACAAAGTTTGTCGTGAAAATGAAATAAATAATTAAAACATAAAAAATGCACACATAAGTACAAACGACAGTTTGGATAAGTTTGTTTGCATACATTTTTTCGCAACACGTTTGTTGAGACGGCGTTCGATCAAATGTAAGAACGATTTTAATGCTATTCAATTCGAGCCGCGAACGCGCGTTTCTATCCTTCGTCGTAAATTCCGTAAAATAATCGTTCTTGAAAAAGAATCTCATCATCATCAGCGTCAATTACTAGTCCTATATATGTAACTACCTACTGTTTTAGATCAAACAAACCGTTATAATAAATACGCAGCGGACCGGTTTTCCGTGCGTAAAAGTTTCGACGTGCGCACTACACAGCGAACTGAAGCGAACATATAAGACTGCCATTAAGTACGACAAAATACGATTTTATATATTGTAATGATTTTGCGTGTTTGCGGTTCGACCGTTTTATGTGCATTTTTTCATCTTTTTAAAAATACGACTACCTCGGTGTACTACCCACACACAAGCTTTTATTGTCAATATAAAATAATACCATAATAATGATTATACATACAACGTCGTATCGTCTGCTTGCTATAGTGCATATTTCACCCCCTTTATTTTGTTATAAACAATCATCTTCGATTTTTTTTTTTTTTTTAGCGGCAGTACGATGTTTTTTTTTCAATGTAAGTATCTACATTTTTTGTGCACATACTAAATTGTTTTTATCACACACACACACACACACACACACACACACTTCGACTAACACATGCTTTGTCTCTGATAGTGTTCCGCGCGGCGGTCAATAAATTACGAGAGCCCGCGTGCGTTTATGTCTCTCTTACGCGCGTTTACAACGGCCCACGCAAAATCAAAGAATTCAACTGCAAAGCGGTCGAGTGGAAGGTAAGGAGCAACGCGCAACTTAATTCTCATCCCGCGTGAGGACGAATTACGCGACCCACGTGGGCATGTGTAGTATTTATTTACGAGTCGCGCGCGTATGTGTGTTTATACAGATACACACGCACGTGAATTGAATAATAATAATAATAGTAACATAACAGGGCAATTAGAAAACGTTATTATTGAAATCTCGATTGTGCAGCGCATTGTATCGGATATTATAATATTCTACACGTACATATTATTTCAGCATATAAATCGTTTATTAAGCAAACATTGATGGCGGCAAACCTCAACGCCCCATGATCCACTCTCTTCCACACGTGTACACACACACACACACACAGACCTGTGCATCTGCTTAAAACGCCTATGTATAAATAAACATTAATGGGCTTTTTGGCGTATTGTCGGAAAGAGTCCACCGACCACTGCCACATCACGCACATTTACACTAATTAATGTAACTATTTTGTTTTTTTACAATCGAACTGGATTCTTCGTTTTTCCAAAGTACACATATATATTAGATACAAACGAATGCCGTAATATTATGTACGAGAAAAAAAAAATAAAATTAAAAATGCGTCCGTAAATAAAAATGGTTTTGTAATAACTAGCAGAAACCAATAAATATTAACGCTAATAAAAATGCAGTGAACATTCGTGTTTTTTTATTTTTCCGAACATTCATATAAGTATTATTTATGAAACAACAACGGAAAATAAAGAAAATATACACACGGCAGAAGCGGTCGTTTTTGCAATCTCGTGCGAGACACGGGTAGACAATTAAAAGTTGGCCAGGGAGAGGATTGTTTATGAAAAGAATTTCTTTTGTAATAACAACCAGATGATGAACTTGCGATTACACCTTTGCGAATAAGACGAAAAATCGGTTTATTTAGGTATAGTGGACGCGAATCTCCACTTTTCCTTTATGGGTAATATGAGATAACATAGTTCCCCCTTATCTATGCTAATTATCTCTGTCTTGGCTGTGCGCAAAAACTTTACCGAACCTCTGCTGGGTTCAAACTACGGTACTGGTGCCAGTTCCTCGCGCTCTAGCTGCTGTGTAAATATAGTGCGACAAACGACCTTTGATATAATTTATAATCACGCCAAACTGAATTCCAAGGCTTATTATTATTACTATTAAAGTAAGCGAAGGAACTTGTCGTTGCCGTTGTTATCGCTATAGCTGTAGTCGGTAATGTCTGAGAAAAAGATCATTTTAATTGGATTTCCGGTCGACTTTTATACAAGATAACACGTTTACATTATATCTACGTGTTACTCGAAAAAGGTTCAACACAATTTTTAATTAAAAACCATAATTCCTTGGACGGAACAATATCCATATTGACGTAGAATATTATTTTAGCCGTTATAATAACACCATTATAGGCGGTTGATAAAATATTCGAAAATTTAACATTTGATTTTTTAACATACATAGTAAGTATTATCTACTAAAAATACATGAATTTAAATACGATAGAATTATTAACTATCTATGTAAAAATATGATAAGAACTTAGATAATATATTAAAATACTACTATTAAAATGATTGATTATTATATGGAAATTGACGTTCTATTAAAATAATAGACTAAATCTATGTGTACAAAAACTTATAAAATAGATAGAATTTAAACAAATTTAAATTTAAAACAATGAGAAGATACTTGTAAATTAAACAGTCATTTATTCGTAGATCATGATATTTTAAGTATTTGTTTTACGTCGTCTAAAGAAATCAATTTTGAATCCTACACAGACATGTGTCCGAAAACTAAATTATTGTTTTGTATATACTCACTTATACAAGTTTGTGCTTCCATGTCTGCTTCAAAGCCTGCTTTGCACTTGCAGCCACCTGATGGAAGATACCATTTTCCATCTCCTTTACAAAGATAAGTGGGTGTGCCTCCTACTACTTCAGCGTTATCTACACATTTGCCGGTGGCATGTTCGATTTGGGTAAGTTCTCTAGCAGTCGGTGTAGCTGAGAAGTTTGCAAAGTTTATCACAACTTCTGGGCATACGATGTAATACACCTGCGGGCAAAGTCCAAATATAAGTTCAAGGTAAACATGTTATTTGAGAATATTATACTCGAATAGTGACTATAGCGTTGGCACCATATATATAAAATTCAAATAAATCGTTTTGATTTTTAGTGTTATAAAAAATAATATATTATATTTATCTATCATATATTGTCGTAGAACTATATAGGAAAAACAAGTTAGAACATTCAAACTATTATTTTTAATATTTTTTTTTATTATTCCATCGATCTGCATGGGGTTATGAGCACAAGTGTATATTCTACATAGAATAAGAAAAATCATAAAAACCATGTCTTCCTAACGTTTCTAACTACCCCAATGGTACAAACTAACGATATGTTATAATATTATGAGTATACTTATTATTATTTGTTTTTTTTTTTTTTTTGAAACAGTCAGATATACAAAACCATTTCCTTCAATATTGCGCAGAAGTAGTTATCTATATTAATTATTTTTTTTTATATAAATATATACTTCATTGTATCACTCACTCTCTCTTTCTCATTGTGTCTATCTTCAACGTCATTTTGGTAAATTATACTATAAAAAAATTAGCCGAAATTATAAATTCAAATGAAAAATAGAAATATTTATTTAATCGTAAAAAAGTGTAGAATATTAAGTATAATTTTGTTTGGAAAAAATCGTTAAATATAAGTGGAAATGCATTCTATAACGACTAGTTAGTGAGTCACTTAATAATAATAATCGTCCGCAAAGAGAGGAGTGTAATAACCGTAGTTCATTATGTGTTTGGATGTTTCAAGGGTGTAATTTTCAATTATATATGTTATAAATGTATGTAATACAGGTATTTATGCGTATGGTTGAAAGCAGATGTTCTATGTAGATCTAATTAATATTATTGTATGACGGAATTATCATACAAGTTATAATAATATTATGCAAGAAAAAATATTTATGAAAAATTCAGGATTTCGTCACTTGTAAAATGTGCTTGATATATAAATATAATAAATTTAAAAGACATTCAAAAAGTTTTTTATGAACCTTTAGTCACCAATTACAAAAATAAGTTTCATTATGCGAATTAAAAAGTTTTCGGTAATTTGTCTTTTGAGATTTCGGAGTCTCTAGAGATAAAAAAGCTTTTACGCATTAAGAAACTTAATAATTACAGAAACCCTCTGGCTTAAACATAAAAGACTCTTTATAGGTATAGGCTATAAATTATACTGTGAAAGGGGCAGATATATTAGTGTATTTCTGTGAATTACAAACCAAGTATATTCTACCGCGCATATAGAGTACGTAAAACATTTTGATCAATTTAATTATAACACTGAAAGTAAATTAAATTTCATACCAAATATTAAAAATGCAACAAATAAAATTACTAGCATAGTTGATATTTCTATTTTTTAACTTTAACGTTTTTATTTCAATGAAAACTAGCGTTATAGATATCTGAATAAATAAATTAACAACTTTAAGTAGAAAATATAATTAATATGAAATATTAACAAGTATGGATGTATAAATATTACAATAAAGAACAGATAAATTCAGATATTTTTTGAGAAAAGATATGGTTTCCTAGTTAGGCATTATAAAATTGTAAGAATTAGAGAGCTTAAGATTTTATTTGTTTGTTTGATATTAAGTTTTGTGTTTAAAAATAGTTTAACAAAGTTTTAAAAACCAATTACATTAAAAAGTTAAAAATTAAGATTTTTTTTATAGATTATTAACGCGAGACTTTTACACAATGAATAACGAAATATAGAATTTAGAATTATAGAATTTTTTTTTCTATATTGACTATCGTATTGAAAATGGAAAAAATCACTATCTAGTAGACCCAATTGTTTGTTTTATGGCCAAGTGTTGAATCTCGTCTTCAGATGATTCAATCAATGAGGGCAGAGTCCATTTGGTGTATTTACCTATTAAGTTATAATACTGGCTTGCTGATGCTATATACGTATATATTATATTACTGCTAAAGGTAGTAACGAATAAATATTTTGACGTAAACTAATAGTGTGATATGCCGTATGCCGTATAACAACGATTTCTCCCTCATAGAATTTCTCGGCATAGCTAGAGTTTTTATTTTACCGTGTTTTTATTTTATTTATTTCACGACGAAATTTACGACCCGGTCCCCGAGACGTTACCGTATTAACGACAATAACTATAAATTCGCCCACCGGGTCTCTCTGACATAATTATTGCATCGCGTTCTCGTCCGTGTAGTCTTCTTTCTTCTTTTTTTATTTAACTCTTTTATTTCCCTCTTTCCTTCACCCGGCAACATCACTACGCGACAACTACTAACACTTACACGTATACTAACACTTATAAACGCATAGATGAGAATTTGTTTTCCTGACGTGGCACAATCTAATAACATCAGTTTTACAGGCGTGGGATATGATTAGTGAGAAATAGAAAGAACAAAAAGATAGAAAAAATAAATAAATAAAAGAAAAATTATTTCATATAGGTTCCCAAAACCGACGACTACGAATAAAATATTCATTTTAAACAACATCAATATCTTTTTTCCTAAATTATCTAGTAAATTTTAATCAAAACCGGAAATGGTGTATAATAATTCTTGGCATTTTTCACTTGCACCTTTATCATTTTATGCCTACGACCGAGCGATAAAATAGACGAGCGGCAGTTTGCATAATTAAAAAAAAAAACCGGCATAATAATGTTATACGGTGAAAAAAAAAGAAAAATATAACACTTCGTAGTTATAATGTAAAATACGCACTACTATTATAAAAGTTATCTCATCTTACTTTGACAGCCATGATGGAAATACACGCGCCCTGGTCCCTGAAGGCAAAGTATACTCCTTTTTTGGTAACTTTCACGGCTTTTGTCTCGGTATTGATTACTACTTCATTATTGGCGTTGAACCTCCCTTCTCCGGCAGCTATCCGACCTGTAAAATCACGTATAAGACCATTTTGAAAATGTATTGCTCCAAAAATATAGGTATATAGTACACATAGTAATTATTTTTATTATTCATTTGTAAATACTTCGTGTGTTATTACCATAATTGGAACGGACTAAGACAAAGAGATATGGATCATCAAAATAATATTATCCATTTTGGGATCTAAAATTCTTTTGTACAGCGTTTTTCATTGTACTTGTGCGATTAAATGAATTGCATCGCAAAGCATACAAGTAATATACAAGTAATATAATATAAGTATATAAGTAAACATACTAGTAATATACCACACCACGTTAACGATTCCAAAATGCTTTATTGACATATTTCAGAAAACAATGTTAGCGATTTTTATTGTGATTCTTTTAAATGTCAAATATGATTTCAAACAAAACCAAAAGACCAACAAAAAGAATAAAAACCAAAGACCCAAGACCAAAAGAAAATAATTGTAATAATGTGTATGCTTGCATTGCGGATTGTTCAAATTTATAGAATTTCATGGCAAGAAAATTAAATATTTTGACCATTATTTTACGAAATCAATTAATCAAAACGTAATCGTGATTTCAATATATACGTTATAGTTTTATATTCACTATCACGATAATGTATATTGTTACTGTTTTAATAATAATTAAGAATGGGTTCAAAATATTTATAATTCATATCTAAGCTTCGTATAGTTTCGAGTCTCGTATTTATTATTTTTTCGGTATAAAAATAAATTAATTTCGAGATCATTACATGCAGGTAATTACTTTCGATGATTGAAAAGTTATCGAAATAATTCGTATCGGTTACCACATTTGTTGGATTTGACTTGCTTTTATTTTTAATTAATATAACTACAAAAACTTTTTCATCATCGCTGTCTCTTAACATGACAACATATACACATGAAAAATATTCAGAAACTTACCGACTGATTTGTAACTGTCGGGTTCCCAAGGTGGCGGTTCCCTGGTGGCCACATCGAATTCGTAGTAGAGCAACGAAAACGTCTCCTTGCACGACAGCGCATATCCAGGGAACAGCGAACAGTCTCTGATGGTAAACTTGACTTCAATATAAATTAGATTGGCCAGTCCACGCTCGATGAAAGGTGTCCACACCCAATTGTTGACGTTTTGCTTGGTGACATCGCACACGACGTACGACCGCCAATTGATGTCCTTCTCGAAGTTTATATAACTCTCTTCGACCCACTAGAAAAAAACGAAACGAAAAAAAAAGTTAAATTATTTAAAAAAAACTCGGAATATTCAAATTGCATGAGGATAAAGAAAATAAATGCATATACGTAGTAGCTTTGTCGATTTCCCTGGGGTACATGTACGTACATACACGCATACATACAAACGTAAATATATATATGCGAACGCGAATATAACAAGGTTCTATTGTCCTGGAAATTTGTCACCACCGTCGACGTCAATTGCAATAGTAAATAAAAACCCCCATTGGGTTAATGATCCGACGACCCTCTGCGAAGAAGAGATGGTGTTGGTGGTGGTGGAGAGTTTTGCGAAAACATTCCGAGCACGAAATCCTCTCCACCTCTTCTCATAAAATTCTCTTTCCCCGCTCTTCCACCGGCCTACACGGATGACTCACGGGGATCCACCTTCAAAGGCTTGCGCAAATAGTATATACGGGGAAAACGCAATGTATTCATATACTTTGCGCACACACAAACAGATACACACAAACACACACGCACTACATACACAAAATATACTCAAACGCAAACGCACACACACATGTAGTGAATCATCCGAAACGTTAGGGTCGTACAGCCAGCGCGTGCGAAATCTCATCAACTCGCTCGCCTACGTCCTTTCCTTCATCTCGTACTATACCGACCCCTATTTCTCTCTTTCTCCCTCCGATCCGGTACACCCGGTGTACGTGTCTATGGCGATTCGTCTTGATCGGATTTCGTCAAGCCCGACCCACCGAAATTGTTGCAAGCCCAAAATTTACATAATGCCTGTAGAGCAGAGAGTAAAGTCAGAGAAAGAGAGAGAGAGAGAGAGAGAGAGAGAGAGAGAGAGAGAGTTACTGCTGGAGAATAAATTACACAAGATCGCGGGATATACGTATAGTAGTTATACGATGACGGTGGCTGAAAGCGGTCAAAATAAACATTGTTACTATGTTTTGGCTTTTATTTAAAGCGATACTACTGCACTCCATGCGCGGTCGGAACATATCGGCTTGCGAAAAAAAAAGAAAAATGTATAAGTCTTTTTCGATGTTGGGTCGGTGCTGTAGATTAATTTTAACTCGTCAAGTAAATATTTTTTTATGTTAATGACTGATTTAATTTTCTTCGGAATATATTATTCTAGCACTACTGGATAATAATACTGAAAACGAATGAAATGGAAAGTATTCAAAGGGTTTTCGATGTTTTTTATGTATGTATACATATAACACAGTCCCTTTGTATAAAGAATTGAGTATAGACACATTTAAATATTTTAACAAGTAATATTTTATAATAATAATGAAAAAAATCATTCAACCAACCAGCTTTTGCGTAATCCCAAAAGGGACGATGACAACGTACACGCACATAGATTTTTGCAGTGACGCGTAAAAATTTGAAAAGGTCAGCAAATATTTTGGAAGAACGATTAACGCAAGAGGTGTGGTGTTCAAAAAGACACGCGATAGATAAAATGACGAATTTCCCCCTACGTGATAAGACTTTATTATTATTTTTTGTACAACAATGGACTCGGGTGATGCATGTCTCTGTGTATATATGTAAGCAGTGTAACTCGGCGGCATCGGCGGTACTAGCGTGCAAGCAGCTATGTACACGATTATACCCTTGGGAGAGGAGAAAGTGAGTTTTCTGGCGTCATTAACACGCCGAAAACCATTTTTCCACCGAGTGCTTAATGAGCCCAGAAATCTTCACATAATTCGGTACGTCATTATGGAGCGGGTCGTGAAGAAAAAATAACTATATACGTGAATAATAATAACAATAATATACATACATACGTATATATACATATTTACACGACGAGAAAGAGAGAGAGATAAATGTAAAAAGAAAGACGAAGAATAAAAATGCAACGGCGACGCTGTTGTATTCATTAGGAAAAAACATGGGGAGAAATACTACGTATACTAATATAATGCATAAACCACCACCACACAACAGATGACCGGCCAAAGAGATGGAAGTCGTTCCTTTTTTTTTTTTTTTAAGACTCATGATAGCATTCGAATAAAAAGTCAAAGTCTGTACTCGCACACACACATACACACATATATATATATATATATATATAACCATAATGTATATTTAATTGCCCACCGCCGTCGCCGCACGCGTTATTAAAGTGCCATTAATGGAGCAAACCAAGACAACACTGAGCAACCTCCTTTTTATAATATGTAAGTATGCGCACCGGCAGCATAAGCATTATAATTTTATTATTATACGTATTATAAATTTATAAATATATATATATATATAAGTACAATTTTTTTTTACCGTAGAAAAGGAATCTGAAGAAATTAACCCAACGGAGCCGCTCGTCAATTTGTAAACGTCATCCGGGATAATTACATTAACAACCGGTAGATTCAATTCTAATGGGAGTTATATGCACGTAATCTGTACGAATAGAAAACGGAGACAACGTAGGGTATTATCGGTGGTCATTCAAATACCTCATCTATGTGTGTGTGTGTGCGCGCATGCTCAGCCACAGGGTAATGGCAGGAGCAAGAAAGCAACGGCTACTTGTCACATTATGCAAATGTTCACGTCAAAAGATTGTGGTCCATTCCACTGCTAGCTGCCACCGGTGTATGGTTTTCAAAAGGTGACGCGGTAAAATGTAATTTATTCCTTTGGACCCAGCGCGTATATATGTCATTGGATTTAAATATATATTACATAAACATATACACGACGACGAATGTGCTCTGCGCGTTGTCGTTTTGCTATTCAATCCCGTTATTCGTATTTCTATTTGATATTTCCTTTTTTTCAACCCCACTTTACCTTATTCCGTGCACGCACAAACACACACCCATGCATATGACCGTCAAATCAAGCTTCTCGGTGCATGAGAAATTCAAAGTTCAAACTATCATGTATAGGTAAGTATAAAACATGCTGACAACCTCATATCTATGTATATATATGCAGCTACATACATATATCTCATTTTTTTACAACGAAAAAAAAATAAAAATAAATAAATATTTATTATAAATGGTAAACGTATATTTATGTACAGAAATCTAAATCTAATCTTTAAATGACCAACAAAAAAGAAAAAATGTACAACTTTTAATGATCGGATCTTCTAATAAATACCTTATTATGAACACATATATTAGGTATGAGTATATGTGAAAAATCGTAGAAAAAATATTCAATATTTTTTATGATTAAAATAATATTTATTATTAAAAATAGAATTGTAAGGTTGTAGATTATTTGAACACGTGTGTCCGACAATGTCGACAATAACAATTTGTCGTGTTATTCATACAGTTGTATATTGACAAACGTGTTGGTTACATAAAAGGCATAGTTCGGGTCAGCAGACGAAACCTTACAACGGCGTCGCTCGTTGTTTGATATATTATATATATATAAAAAATCCAATAGGATAGAATCGTGTCCTTTTTAATGGTAGAACGAATATATTTTGTCGGGTTACTCAAAAAAGAGCATTTTGATGCCATGTCGACTCGGGGAGCGCATTTTCCAGTTCAAAGGATATATAGACATGACGACGACCCTTATTACAACTCGCATAACAATACTATATAATATAGTGTGGTACGCGCGTGAAATTTCCATTTATTGATTTGTTCGTATTGAATAGAATAAAAGGAAATTAATTAAAACCTACCCCATTTTCGATTTAAATTCAAATTCGAGGCATGTTTTATTCACGGGAAAATGAAAACGATTACTGCGACCCTATAATATTGTCCGGGAAAAATTATATTATATAGACGATGGGGTTGGCAATGACATTGACTCACACACAAATAGGTAAGTACTTCTACTACTACTACTACTACTACTACTACTACTACTAATACTACTTTTATCATGATTACTATTTATTCTATGAATTATATTATTATGAATTATAATGGTTTCTGTTATACATCCAATCAAGAAGTCTATGAATGAGCTGGAGGATAAATAGGAAGATATTTTATTAGTGATACGGTGGTAGTGGCACTTTGCGAAAAAGAAAGTTTTCACTAAATTTCTACAGTTTCGTGAATAATGCGATTCTGTAGCGCATTCCGGCTCATTAAGCAAAGGGAAAAAAGCGACGGTCGCGCACACCCCCGCGGGACCAGTTGACTGATAGTGAGCGATACATCTAAAATAATACGAGTAAATAACTCTTTGCTGATGTTTGTAGAAATCCACGGGGTCTACTTTGGGAAAAGGGTGTTTCGCTCATTAGCCGCGGGAAACCAGATACACCGACCAACCGATTGGGCCAGGCAGTGGTGATGGCGGCAGCAGCGGAATGACAATGACAAAAGATTTTAAAAAATAAAATAAAAATAAAAGAACTTTGAACTGTTATTTAGCAAATGTTCTTGACGAGTAAACGAGGGGGATTAACCCCACCGATTGCGAGAAGTTTCCTCGTAGTAAAACACAAGTAAGTTTGCTACTATGGCCAACCCGATTAATTATTGCTCGGAAGTTTGGGCTCTGCTTGTGTTCAATGCCACCACTCTTCCTCCTCATCCACACACTATATACTTAAATTGCGTCACTGTAATCCGAAACTCTGATGCCATGGGTCAGCGAGCTTTCGCCCAATCCTTTTATGTATTTATTTCTTTAATTCCTCCAATCGTTTTCGTTTTTTTTTTTTTTTTGTGTGTTTTGATTTTTACTTTTTATAAATTTATAAAAGTTATCACCGAGTACTAAGCTTAGTGATTTCATTAGGAATTTTAGACCCAAAACTTTGACGTACGCATATTTATTACATTGACGACTGTATTTTTCGTAGTAAAGCATATAAGCGAGCACGGAGATCAACACTATTTTAATATACCAAAACAGTAGAAGATAAGAAACACACAAGTAGAAAATTGAGATTATGTCGGAAACCCTTTATTTATCTTTAGCATAACAATACCACCCATTGTAAAATTAAATTTTATACATTGTGTGTTTAAATAA